AAAGACGATGGTCTGGGCCCCCGAAGGCTTGCCTGGGACCCTGTGCCAACCTCGGAACAGGGATGTACCCAAGGAACCTTGCATTTGTTTATGCTGCTATTTGTCACGCTTTATGTTGTTTGTAGCTAAACTCATTCCTAACAGATACAGTTACACAGATATTTCCAGGCAAAAAAGACTTCCTTTCCATGCAATCTTGAGACTACCTGGTAACAAGAAATTCAGTGACGTTCACCCTTCAGCCAGTTGACACAAACCCAAGATTGGTATAACAAAGTAGGTAACCTCACCAACAACCAATATACAGGTATCAGTAGAAGAAGTTCAAATGAAAGCTCCCTTGACCTTTTTACATTTTCAGTGAAAGCGCGTGGAGGCACCAGATGGTAAGAAAATAAGGGTGAATGGGGCCTTTGTCGAACCAGGTGGGGGCGGATTTGTTGTATATCTATTACCTACCTACCTACCTACCTACCTACCATGCAGGTCACCCACATCTCCAGCCAAACAGAGCCCCAGCAGCCCCACCAGGCAGGTGTCCAGGTGCAGTGAGGTCAGGTTCGTTGCACTTTTCTAGCTGTCTGGCTCCCCTACGAAAGGCCCCTACCGAAGGTTCCGTCTCTTTGGGTCAGATGCAAATTCCTGTCATTTAAGAGTTTAAACCTATGAAATGCTAAACACCCCTAAGAAAGATCATGTTCGGTTTTGTTTGTAGAAATCAGACATTTGCATCATAACTAATGCCTGATTCCTGCCTTAAGCAGGTTTTTGCTGGGGAGAAGGAAAGAAGCAAGATGTGCCCAGGCTCCAGAGACAACTGGGGGAGGGCGGGGCTGTGGGTCTGCAAGGCAGGGGCCCACAGGGCCAAGGGCGCGACCTCCACGTTGTCTGCGTCAATCGACTGAGGGCCGGCTGCTGTGGGATCTGTCCGCTTACGTTCACTGAGCTCTCTGGCCTTTCAAATAAAAAGCAGGAAAAAAGTCTGCCCCTAAAACAATGTTGCCTCAGAAGGCTATTTTTGTTGGCAGGTCACCCCTCCAGGGCTTGAAAAGCTACCAGCAAGCATTTTGACGTGAAGAACAGCAGGACTTTGCCTCTCGAAGTATTTGCATTCTCAAGGACACACAAACAAATAATCCAACACTAACACTGCACTCCACCTACTCCAGTTATAATCTGACCCAGAGTGTCCAGAGCAACACCTCAATCTTTTCAGAAAAAAAACCTTTCTGGAAGATTTAATCCAAAATAATTATCAATTTAAGAATAAGTATCACCATTCTGCAAGTCACAGTAAAAACGGATTCAAGCAAGAATCATGAAAGGAATCTGAAACCATCAGGTAAAAGTTTGATGAAGAACAAGATATAGATATATGTGGGGGAGCCTTGTCTACAGAGCACCCCCAGCCACCACGGATGAGAATAAGTCTACCAAGACATGATTTGCTTGGGGAGGAAAGGTGGCTGATCTCTCGAAGGAGAAGGACCAAGAGTCTTTTCCTCAGCAGCTTTTACTGGGTTCATTTACACAGGAATTCAGGGAAAGCTCGTTATTCATTGCTGGGAAGTAAGGATCAAATAACAAGGAACTCTGAGGGCCTATTTTGAGTCAGGGTCAGAAAGCTAAAGAGCTGTAAAAAACTTTAAGGAACAAACTTACTTCTTCCTTGGACCCTTATCATTTAATTGAGAGCATTCTAAACAAAGCAGGTTTCACAGGATTTTACATATTCTTTCTTAGGCCCGATCACCCAGGGAACCCGCCCTTTCTAGTACAGGGCTGCACCACCCTCTGTCATTGTTTCAGGCTTAGGTGGAGCAAGGGAAGTAAGGCAGCCAAGAGATTAGGAGATTTTCTCACAGACAATGAGGACTCAGGCTTTGTCAAAACCTAGGGGCGAGGGTCCATCACCCCCTTTTGCTGTAGCCCCCAAAGTCCTTCCTTGGGGGCCTCCCACGTGATTGTGCCTGTCTTAGGTCATTCCCCCCTTGGGGAATCTTACCCCGCATTGGCTAACTGACCAAGCATTGGGGGCCAGGCAGGGTGAAGTAAAAGGAGCGGCAGCAGTGCTCCTGCCAGGGGGATAAGCTTTGTCTCCTTGGTGGCTTAAGGTCCAAGGTCATTCCCTCAGCCTTAGCCTTGGTGGGGGTTACAGCTTCTGATACCAGGCAGGGTGGTTCCCAACAGATACAATCTTAGATGATCTCTCACACAGTATATCTGCATTACAAAAGAGAAACTGTAACTTCTCAGAAACCCAACAGGCATCATCTTAATCAAGTGATTGAAATTAATATCACTATTGAGGAGTATTTCACAAAACACCTAGCCTACACTCTTAAAAAATATCAATATCATAGAGAAGAAAAGCCAAAAAATCCTTTCAGACTAAATGTGACAAGAGACATGACATGTAAATGCCATGAATGATTGTTTTTTAAAGTCTTGGATTGGGCCCTGACTGGTGTGATTCGGTTGGGCATTGTCCTGCAGAGCAAAAGGTCAGGGTTCGATTCCCCGTCAGGGCACCTACCCGGGTTCAGGTTCAGTCCCTGGTCAGGGTGTGTACCAGAGGCAACTGACCCATGTTTCTCACAGCGATGTGCCTCTCTCTCCCTTTTCCCTCTCTCCCCCTCTCTCTGAAAATAAAAATAAATAAAGTCTTAAAAAACAAATAGACAAAAAGTGTGGGATTGGGGGGGAAAGTGCTGTAAGAAACATTGCTGGGACAATTAAAGAAACTTGAATATAAACTATATATTGGGAAAGTCAGTATTAAAATGCCTCTATGTGTTAATTATACTGTGGTTCCGTAAGAGCATACACTTGCCCTTAAGAGATATATGCTGAAGTGTTTAGGGGTGTGTGCCGTGATGCCTGCAATTTATTCTCAAATAGTCCAGCAGCAAGAATAATGAGTGATTTATGTAAGAGAGAGAGAGCAGGGGTGTGCGAACTGGCCAGTCTCAGTAAAGCTTACGTGGAAGTCCACTGTACAAACGCAAATTTTCTGTAATGTAACATTTTTTCAAAAGTCCTTTATAGCAAAAAAAAAAAAAAAACCCACAATTTTCAAATGTATTAATAAGAAAATGAAGGACAAAATGTATTAAAAAACCTTCAATTTACTTAAACACCTAAGTTTAAGTTAACGATTTAAAAGAACAAAAACAAAATGGCAGCATTACAGATGAAGAGGTTGGGGCTGTGTGGGTATATGATTTCAATTTTTTGTTGTTGTTGTTAACCTCAGAGGAGGCTGTCATTCTCTCTCTCGGCCACAAGAGTCATGCCACATTTCACTAAGTGAAGGCTATAGACACGGAAAGAATGACTACCCATAATTAAGGGGAAGAAGAAATGCCTAGCCTAAGATTAGTACAAATTTGGTGAGTCACTTCCCCTCAAGAGGAAAAACAAACAACTCTCATTTCCTGAAGGATTCAGAAACCGAGAGAACACCTGAGCTCTCAGCTGGAAGCAGGCCATATAGGTGGCACGCTAGGTCTGGTGAACCTGCGGCCCCTCCACTCAACACTTCTGTCCACGCGCAGTTCACCATCAACCACAGTGCCACCTAGTTTCAAAGTCAATGTCAGGTCTAATCTCCTGGCTGCTTCAGCCTCCACATGACTAGGTTGCTGGGAGAATACATGCAGCTAAAACAAAGGAAACTCATGTGGACTGCCCATCCGCCCTCTGGCCTTGAGTGGGCAGTGGCACTGGCTTTCTTTTGCTCATCACCCCCGGCGTCCCCCCGCCTCGGTCCTGCCCCAAATGTGCCGAGCCCCTTCCACGGAGAGCAGGAGCTTCGGCCACGCGGCCTCCCCTCCTCGGAGCTGCCCCCGGCACGCGGCTCACACACGTGGACGGATTAGGCAGAGCTGTGCTGCAAAGCACACACACGCTCTCCCAGCGTGCGCTTTTCATTCCAGAAATACTTCGCTCCTACACCGCTTCTCTGTGTCTCTCCCGGCGTGAAACGGCGTGAGTGGCCCCGTGCCAAGGGAAGTGTCTGTTCAAACATGTGGGCTTTCTTAAAATTTCTTTACCCCAGAAGGTCATAAATAGAACATTCTAGCATAATTATAATGGAATAAAGGAGAAAAGAAAAAGGTTAAAGGAAAAAAAAAAAACCATTTGTTTTGTTTTATAAAGTTGCCTGAAAGAAATACTGGGAAATACAACATATAACATAGAATTATCTTCCAAGACAGTAAAAATTACAGGGTCCCAGTTAGGACAAGGAAGCAAAAATATGACCTTTAAGGTTGGTGAGCATTTGCCATCTCTGTCAAGAGCGTTTATTCCTGCGCTAAGATCACCCACAAAATCAAAACACGGAGGAGGGTGTTTCAGTCATTGTTCTATTCTGGAAAGTCTTTTCACTTTGTACCTTGCTGCTTTAGGACTTCCATCGTATATCCAAAACTAAGAATATAAAAGAAGAAACCCATTTTGGTTGACTTAAACGTCCTTTCCCTTTCCCCAATAAATACCTTTCTCCAGGCATTTATTTTGAGTTTGCCCACGATAAGCAGTGTGAAGTCAATACCTCTTCACAGAACCAGCTGAATGACAATTAAAAACACACTCTTGTCACCTACCTACATCCAGGGGCGGGCAAAAGTAGGTTTCCAGTTGTGAGTACAACAAAAACAGTTTAATCTTGTACTATTATTTATTATTTTATTATTTACCTGTATTATTTCTCTTCATGTTAGTATTTCATATCCTGACTTATGATCTATTTTTTAGGTAACGATGGCTGGTACTTTAGCTGACAACCAATGAGAGTGGATCCTTAAAAACTTACTTTGCCCACCCAGGTACATGTGTGCGCGCACACACACACACACACACACACACACACACACACACACCATGTGAGGGAACTGACCTCCAGCGCCACAGAACACACACAACAGGATCCCCCGTCAACACAGACCCCAAAGCACCTCCGCACGGCACTTCTGACCCCGGGCAGGGAAACTTACTTTCTCTCCACTTCTGGCGTTGACGCGGCGCTACAGAAGCCGAGCGACTCCTAGGAGAGAGAGTGCACAGCGTCAGCACAGGCAGCACGCAGCCGGCTTCGCCGACTTTGCACCGAGAGTGTCACATAAGAAAGAAGGAAGGGGCGGCAGTGAAAATAGATGATTAAAGTCGTCGTGCTTACTTCGATCTGGGACCGCAGCTGAAGTGACGTGGGGCCGGCGTCGGGTTTCTCCTAAAACAGAACAGATGCCGCTTTTACTGAGGCTTCCAAACGTGGCCCACACCAGCAAGACAGACAGATTTGTAACAGGAGCCGGGGGAATCTGGGAAACACGAGGGCACAGGGGGAGGAGGCGGTGGGGGTAAACAGACTTTCTGGAAAAACGCAGGCGTTTTTAAAACGAGAGCTCTAGCCTCTGAAATAAAATGGAACTGGTTCCCAAACTTCACCACTGCTGACAATTCCATGAGGTCGATCTAGCTGTCAGCTAGAATGAGGAATGCTGTCAGCTAACGGTGGAAGAATTCTCCGGGTGGGATCAGACCCTCACCAGGACCTGGAATGGACAGTGACTTCTCTGGGGTTCAGGGTCTTTTTCAACAACAGAGTCCCAGCTGATTTTTTTAATGATTTTATTTATTGTTAGAGAGAAGGGAAGGGAAGGAGAAAGAGAGAGAAATGTCAATGTGTGGTTGCCTCTCACGCACCCCCAAACTGGGGGACCTGGCCCACAACCCACATATGTGCCCTGACTGGGAATCGAACTGACGACCCTTTGATTCGCAGCCTGTGCTCAATCCACTGAGGTACACCAACTTGATTTTAAAGTTCTAAACAGTTCCAAGGCATTTAGTAATGCAGGGCTAGTTGTCAGTGTCTTTAGGGAAGTGGAAAGTTAACTTGGTATTATCTCGAAGCCCTAAAAATCATCAGGCTCCTGCAGTACAAAGGAATTAGCCTAGATGAAAATTTTAAAACTACCAAAAAAAAAAAAAAACCAACTCGCAGCATCCAGTTAATCAATGAAATAAACAAAAGACACCAAGAAGATCACCAAGTCAGAAGCAACAGCAGAGGATTCCAACAATGTCAGGGATAAAGCCATGTGGGATGGATCGTACTCTCATTCCACAGTTTTAAAAACAAAACAAAACAGTATCCCCTCCCTTCAAAGAAAAAAAAAAGGAGAAATAAACCTTTTGATGAAAGGTTGCCTGTGATGAAAATAATACACGAAATAATCTCCGGCTACACAGTGACAGGGTGCACCGTGGGAAAAGACGAGGGACACTGGGGGACAGGGCACCACACTGGTGTTTCTCCTCAGCGGGGCCACACTCTGACTCTACGCGTGTGCTGACGTGGGGGAGGGCCTCACCGCAGTGTGCTCCGCCGCCCAGGGGTGGTCCCCGCCTGGTCAATGAGTCACCAGCAAGACAATGGGCAGTTTGGGTACTATTGCTGACAGTACGCAAGTCTGAAGCGTCGGATTCACCCCGAGCTCTCCAACAATCCTGCCGTGTGTCCACGACGGTTCCGTTCTTCAGGACTGCACGTGCGCTGTTGCAGGGGGTGGGGCTGCCTTGTGAGCCTCGGCTAACGCGCAGGGAGTAGGAGCAGGCCGTCTCAAGTGTGACTTCCCACGGGCCATCTGACTGTTCGGTTTACTACAGCTGCCCACTTCATCACCAGCCCGATGGCAAAACTAGATCCATGTTTTCAAAACCTAGCAGTAAAATAGTCCAACGAGCCTAACTCAGAGTAAATTCCTAACTGTAAATAGCTCACAGGAATCCAGGACCAACACAGACTACAAAGTGAACGTGCTGGGCTGAGTCAACCTGAGGACAGGATGGTTTGGGTCAATGAGACTGAAAGAGGAAAAAAGTGTTGTAACGGACTGGCACCCCACCGACCCCTGGTCCAAGGGCCTTACTTGTTGCGAAAAAGAGAGTGGTGTGAATCCATCCATAGCACTTCTCTCTCATTGGCATCCTGGTTGTTACTGCCACCTTTGTTCGTGACAGACAAATGTGTATTTCTGTCTCAAACTTGATACACCATTTTTACGAGACAGTGTATGGAAATGTTTGGGTTGCAATCCAAGTCCTACTGATATAACCTCAGGCTCGGATATAATAACAAAAGGGACACTCATTTCTGAGGTTCCTGGTGCCCCGTCCAATCGTGACCGCCCCCCCCCCCCGACAGCTCACCACTTAGCACTGCAGTGAAGAAACTCACCAACTTAAACAGCAGGTGGTACACAAAGGTTCATTTTGCAATTTTTTCATACTAAATCATCCTGTTCAGGAGTCAGAATGAAAGTCTTAAGAATGATGATGATAGAACTCTATTAACTCCCCTGAAATTTCCCCTAAAATTGTCCCTTTAACTCCCAACTTCAGTAGATGCCCTTCCAAAACAATCAAAAAAAAAAAAAAGAAGAAAAAAAGCCTGATTCGACTCTCTCCCCTTCTTCAGATCTCAACTCTTCTTCAAACTCTAAGTCTCTACCTCACTACGTAGGAGGCCACGATAGGACGTTTTCTGCTAGTACTGCATATTGTTATCTGCATTTTTTTTTACAATAAATTGTATTTATTGAGTGCATCCTCTGTCACTCAATATCATAAACATAACATTTTGGTCCGTTACACAAAATGTCATAAGAAGCAGGTGCTCGTTAACAACCCCATGCAGTGTCTGATGATCAGAAAGGAACATTCCAAACACTTCAACTTCACATGTTACTTTGTTACTTATAGTAGACATTTGGGTGTGTTGTAGCTACTTTTGAGGAAATTGGCAGGGGCGTGTACTTTGATGTTTAATGCATTAAAACTTGTCCCTTTAAAATAACAGACCTAGTGAATGTTTCCATGTAGAGCATCTGTTTTATCAGGAACCGGAAATGTTAAACAGGAGCGTTGGTACCGTGATGTTTCCAGTGGTTCTTCCCCACCCCCAGAACATCCCACAAAATGCTTTTCAAAGCAAATATTAATTTCATCTCTTAAAGACAGACGACCATCATTGTTAAGAAGCAGTTCTTAAACTAAACGCATCCTCAAGTAAAAGATATCACACAAATTAAGAAGCAGCTTGCAAAATTGTCCACTAAGTAAGGACCTATCCGATGTTTGGAGAGAAAACAGAATGGACTATTGGAAAATTCCATTATTATGACACTGGTGGATGTCACATAATATCCATGACAAAGGCGCACAGTAATTACTAATTATTGTCATGTAGGAATAGTATGAAATATTTAAGGCATAAAAATATACCATAAAAAATACAGCAAGCCCTTGTGGGCCCACAGTTGAGCCTGAGAAATGGACCATTACAGAGTTAAAGCCAGCAGGTGTTCCGAGATCCCCTGGGAAAAACACCTGTGCACAGAGTATGAAACATGTCTTACTAGAACCATCGAACAAACATACAGAAGGGCTGGACAACTTTCTAGTGTTTATCACAGAAAAAAAATACTGGAACTTCTTTCATGGCCCCAGGTGGAGTGGAAAACCGTGATGGGATGGACTCAGCCAGAGGGAGCACCGGCCACGTAGGCAGCAATGAAGGTGCTGCCCGTACAGCAGAGAAGCGGGAATTCCGGTCAGATGGACAGAGGAAGGCTCCTTGACACCCTCCTTCCGTGTCCAGTCTCTAGGTCAGGCTGCCCGTTCTCTGCTTCCAACTCAACTATCCCCAGTTTTGGGGAGGAGGCAGGGAGCCCTGGGTCCTGAGTTTCAGCGGAAGGAAGTCCCGATGAAGGGGAAGGTGGAGTAAGAAGAATAAAGGGACGAACTTGATGGCCTAGCCCCAAACTACTTCATTCAGGGAAATACTGATGGTTCTTAATACAGCTTCCGATCTGGAAGTCGTGTTGAAGAAAACTGTAAACACTGTGACTACCACTAAGCCACAGTCACTAAGAACATATGCGTCTTTGGGGTGTGTCATGAAAAGAGATGGAAAGAGATCACTGGGAAATAAGAGTCTTCTCTCTCTTATCAACATATTCTGTGTTCTCCCTCAATAACATATGCAGCAGTTACTACCATTGTGTAACAAAGCAACCCAAACTTAGTTGCAAAAACGACAAGCATTTGGCTCTGCTCACAGATTCTGTGGGAAGACTTCAGAAGGGGGACAGCAGGAAAGGCTTGTCTCTGGCCCTTGGTGCCTGCGGCCTCGGCTGGGTGGGAGTGGCTTGATGACTGAGGTCACGATCACGGGGAGGTCTTCTCACTCGCATGCCTGGAGGCCTGCTGGCGAGCAGCTGGGGCCTCAGCAGGGGCAATCAGGTGGCACGGCATACGGGAAGGGGGTGTGCTTCACGTAGCTGCAGAATGCTGGGTTTCAAGAGCAACAGAAACATCGCTGGGAGAGGGAAACACAGATCAGCTGCCTCCTGCACAGGCCCCGACTGGGACCAGACCTGCCACCCAGGCATGTGCCCTGAGGGGGAATTGAACCAGTGACCTTTTGCTTTGCGGGATGACTCCCAACCAGCAGGCCACACCCATCAGGGCTGTGCTGCCTTTTTCAATGTAGCCTCAGATGGTGTCCCTTCTGGAGTCACCAACACTCCTAGATGCAAGAGGGCACACAGCCCCCATCTCTCAGGGGAGGAGAGATGGTACAGAGAACAAGGCAGTGGGAGGCATCCTTATGGCCAGCTTCAGAAATCAGCCCGCTGTTCTCAGGGCCAAGCTGACAGGACCTCACCTCCATCCTCGAAATGGAGGTGAGGAATGAGATGAAATCACTGAACTGAGGAATGAGATGAGATCATTTGCGCGTGACAATGTTCGTAAGGATTCTTTTGTGATGTTATAGTTTCCTCAAGTAAGCGTATCTTGGCAACATATTTCAACCTTAACCTACCACTTCAAGGTTGAAATATCACAAGGTTTTAGACTAAAGTTATTAGCTCTCTCATTTCAAAGTTGTTATTATTAAAGAAAACTTCAAATATACCAAAGTAAAGAAAACCACATAATGAACTTCCAAAGTGCTGTTACCCAGCATCAACAACTGTCTACTGACGGTCAATTTTGTTTTATCTACACCTTCACGCATGCTTCAGCCCCACCCCATTTTACTTTGAAGAAAATCCCAGATCCATTATCATGAAATATCACAAATGCTTTTTATGTTAATAAGGTTTAGCAAACAGGGTTGCTTAAATCCCAGCTGTGGTTCATCTTGAGCAAATGCCCCAA